GTGCTGGGGACTAGAAGATCTTTGCGTAGAGGCTGAAGCAGTCCTTGACATTTGTTCTTCTCTGCTTGGCTAAGTGGTAGTTATTTCACATTCCACCCAAGTAGAATTGTCATCTAAACAGCAAGTTTAGTTTGAGAGGAGGCACCAAGTAATGGTCCTCTGGGGGCTAGAGCAGGATTATCTCCAGAAAGGTTGTTTGAGGTGGCCAGGGTCCCTCATTTTTCTCTTGGGGGCGTGGATTTCAAATTTATGACACCAACGTTCAGGTAATGAAAAACAGAGAAGTTTCCTAGAACATTAGAGCTGGTTAATGGCAAATCTGCAGAATAGGATTCTTTTCATTGTGTCCTAAAATATTTCTGGGATGGCCTGGTCAGATAAGTAACATAAGTTCTCTTCTGGAATATAGTATATTTTCTCTTTTATTTTTAGCTGTTCAGTCTTGAGTCAAATGTATGGAATTCTCTTGGGAAAAATATTTTCATCAAAACATTCTGAAATACAGGCATTAGAAAAAGGATGAAAATTTATAAATGATACAGGTTGAGCATCCCTAATCCAAAAATCTAAAATCATTCAACAAGCATTTCCTTTGAACATCATGTCGGTGCTCAAAAAGTTTCAGATTTTGGAGCATTTCAGATTTTGGAATGTATGTATTCGCAAACATTCTAAAATTTGAAAAAACCAGAAATCTGACACACTTCTGGTCCCAAGCATTTCAAATAAGGGATACTCAACCTGTAATAGTTTAAAAAGTGATATATAGGTACATGTTTGTGTGTGCGTGTGTGTGTACAAATGCACATATACTTACTTGGCACAAATATATACATGTATAAAAATATATGTATTTTTCTGCTAGTCAAGTAGAACTTGGATCAGTGTATGAATATTTAATGGTATAAAATGTAATTTTTTTTTGTAATTGATCAGAATGTTATTACTTTTCTCTTGCAGAAGGCACGCAATTCTGGGTGTCATCAGCGTCCGAACTTTCTGACTCCTGGCAGCCACGCTCCCTGGATATTGAAGTTGCAGCCTATGCACTGCTCTCACACTTCCTGCAATTTCAAGTTTCTGAGGGAATCCCAATTATGAGGTGGCTAAGCAGACAAAGAAATAGCTTGGGAGGTTTTGCATCTACCCAGGTGAGAGATG